TGGGGAGGCCCTGGCACAGGGTGCCCAGAGCAGCTGTGGCTGCCCCTGGATCCCTGGCAGTGTCCAAGGCCAGGCTGGACATTGGGGCTGGGAGCAGCCTGGGACAGTGGGAGSTGTYCCTGWCCATGGCAGGGGTGTGACTAGAGRGSCTTTAATGTCCCTTCCACCCAAACCATTCCATTTTTCGATCCAAGGAGTCAAACTGTGTTTACTGAAATCAGACAATAGGATAATCTCCATCTCTTCCTTACTTGATCATTTTCACGCAGTGTTTAATCTTCRCTGCTCATCAGTTGTGATAAGGCCACTATTCTCATCAAGTCTGGCTGACTTGTAATTCTAATGCACTCATTCTTTCAGTGTGCTTTTGCTTTGGAAGTCTTTCATTCTCATCTAAAGATTCACTCCTACAGAATGAGCTGTCAGCGTCTCTACACCCTGTGTTCAGTTATGTAATTAAAAGATAAAGAGTAGTTCTAGAATATGTTCGAGTTGATACCACATATGCATGAATAAACATGTGACTCTCTCTMTATATAAATGGCACAGATTAATGGAAAGCATATTAGTATCTATTTCAACTAATATCTTTAAACATCAAACCCTTAACAAGGAGGTGATAGCACAGAGAACTGCASAGCAGTGCAGTGAAATGTGTTCACTGTGCTTTTGCTGACATATAATTAAGTTTTGTGCACTTTAGACATCTCTCTGGAGTCCTGTAAATATATACAAACAAAATCAGTTTTCTAACATGYAGTCTGCAAGTTTCCCATTCAGAGGAAAGAATTATTCATCAGAGGAAGGCTTGTTTTCACTTTATATCAACAGCCTAAAGTTGAGTGTCAGATTAAGACTCTCAAGAGATGTCTGGTGACAACACTGTTAGAAAGAAAGGTGATCAAAGGTAAATAGTAAACAATTTTGACACAGCTCTGCAGTAGTCACCACAAAGTCTCATCTCCACACTTACACAGTACTTTTTTATTTTCCTATATTCTCAGCTTTCATTATAGCAGGCAAAAGGATAAAAAATATAGAAATATGCTGCAGCTAGACTTAACCCTAACTCAAAATCTCTCCACTCCACTGCCAGTAACATAAACCAGAGTGTCCTGAGTCWGAAGGCACCCACAGGGGTCATCAAGGTCCAGCTCCTGGTGCTGCATGGACACCCCAACAATCCCATCCTGTGCCTGAAGGTGCTGTCAAACACKCCTGGAGCTCTGGCAGCCTCAGGGCTGGGACCATTCCCTGCAGAGCCTGTTCCAGGGGAGACACAGTCTTGTGATATTTCACATAACACATGCTTTGAAATATGCATTTTTTTTTCATTGATATTATAACCTTTTTGAGTTTCTATCTTATGTGCACTTTGAGTAAAAACCACTTTCACSCTGAACATCTTTGTCCTCAAAAGGCTGAAGAGATTGAGAGAAGCAGTGTGGTTCAGCCCCTCATGATTGTGTCGTTTGCAGCCGAAAGCTTTGGGTCCCTGTCCCACAATCAATGATGGCTCAGTTGCCTTTGTCAAAGGTCTAGAGAGGGAAATCTATATTTGTTGATTTTCTTATGTACTCAAGACATGTGTCTTTGTGTCACACTGATCTCTTTTTKTATGCCAGGTGCCTAAACTGAAGACTTTTATATACACACTACRTATGCAGACACTGAAGAGGCAGCAAGAGTAGAAGATAAATAGATAGATACACTCACACAGATACACATGAACCTTTGTTTTCCCTACTCTAAGAGAAAAACTGCAGTCTAGGTGGTTCCTCCATAAAGAACCTTTACAAGGCCARCCAGCAGAGCAGTGGGCAGTGCTTGTACAGGATCACATCACAGCAAGAGCCTGCACAGGAGCTGCAGCACTGCTGTGGCTCAGTGACAGGATGATTTCTGGCAGGTTAGACTCCCTAACTTCTGCTTGCCTTTGAAGTGCTATCAGCTCTGCAGCTGTACCGGTGTACGGTTACAAAATGATAATATTTAAAATAAAATGGGCGATTTACTCAGAGCTTTGTTTATACACAAGTATTAAATGTAAGGTTCTTTTAAGTGTTTTAGTTTGTTGGTTTGTTTTTCCTTAAAATTTTAMGGGTTTTTTTAAGGTTTCCCTGCTACTTATTGAGCTTGATAMTACACATGACTCAGGATTTTTAACCTCTGCAGCTGACTTACCGGGAAGAGAGCCTAAATATTCACCTTGTGCCCATGTCTGGATTTATGCAGATGGCCTGGGATAGCTGTGGAGCTATTTAGGCACAACTGCTGCCAGTTTCCTGAGTCTGCACATGACCCTGCACATGAGCCCATGTCAAACCAGTAAGTACAAAGAGCATATCAGTGCTTCTCCTTTTCTCATATCAGTGCTTCTCATGTCAAACAGTGTAAATAAAGGAAATACTCCGGTCTTATCTTGACAGAACACTTTTCCCTGCTAGGCCCTGGAAGACATTGAAGTATGTTTTTGTAGAATACATATTTTATTATAAAAACCAGATACTCCAGTGTGCACCAATGCTGTCATGTTGGGACATTCTCCRCTAAAGTCCCATTTTCCCATACTGCCACACATTAAAAGAAAGCATTGGTAGGGAAACAGGAGAGGMCAGGACATAGAAGCCACCCTCCTGAATTCTGCATGGATGCTTATGGCATGTTCCAAAATGTCCCCAGGGCTTCCAAGCAGGAAAACAACACAGTGCTTGGGCATCCCTGAAATCTTCTGTGCCACGGGGAGCAGTGCCAAGCAGCCAAATCACACTGCAAATCTCACATTTCATACAGCCTGTGCTCACATTTGTGGCTCACACAAAGGGAGAGATATCTCTGTAGTCATTCCCTCGGGTGTTGGTACCTGGTGCCTGTGTCACTGCCACTCTTCACTGCTCCGTCATCCGTGAAATTAAAGGTGCCGGTCCAATTTGCCAACTCCTCTCCATTCTGCCAGCTAAACTGCAGCCCTCTAGCAAGAAAACGAGGCAGTTGATATTTGATATCATTCATTAGGTTAAGTCTATCATCATGAGTTCTCATGTCCTATTTCTTAACATACAAATGCGAATATGACACATATCAAAAACAATTAAAAGATACCAAGAACCACAAGACATCACCTTACTAGGATAAACAATTAATTTTTACTTTCCACAGACTCTGCCAGTCTTTGGATGAAAACAATAGCAGGCTCCCCACAGAAATGTGAAGGCTTGTAATTTATGGTGCTCATAAACAACATACACTGGTGAGGAGGTAGAAATTTCATTCTCAAAAACACGAGGGTAAAAAGCTGGAGATGTGGAAAACCACAGGGCTAAAGAAGTAACAGCTCCAAACTTCAATTTTACATCTACAGTAGTTGTTAAATGTGGTGGACCTTGAGTCTTTCCTCTGCTTTGTTGGCCAGGCTAGCAAAGCATCCTTTGTCATTTAATGGCATCTCTAAGTCACAATACAGTGCTTCTTTTGCCTGYTTGGAAAGATTGCATTCTTTTAAGCCAATGCATAAACACAACCACCACAAGTCCCTGTTTTCCAAACTTTCACAAATTAATTCCAACCCGTGCAGTCTTCCAGAAACTACACCAATAATTGGGTAGAAACCTAAAAATGCTGGAGAAATATTTGACAACAGAGGTCAAAACCCCTCCCTTATCTCATAAGTCAACTAAAAAGGATCTTGCAGACTGTTATTTTTAAACTATCCCATTGTAACACAATTTCATTATTTCAGTGGCCTGGCAAGTGGAGTTGTGAACATTTGGTGCTGCCAATACCGAAAGTTAACTTCCCAGCTGGGCTGTGTGGGGACAGCCAGGAAGCAATCTGCCAGCAGGCTTCGTCCAACACAAAGGGCATCCAGGACCCTGAGAGTTCTCTTGGTCTCCAGGCTTATTACAGGGGCTGGTGAATCACTCTGGCCACATCCATCCTCCAGTCTAATTGGCAGCAATAATTAGCACAGGAAATTAAGAAGGAACAACATGAGGTGTTAAAATATGCCCATGGGAATCTCATGATGTTTAACAAAGCCAAGTGCTGGAGCAGCCCCTGGGATGAGCCCAGGCTGGGATGAGCAGATGGAGCAGCCCTGGGAGAAGGGAGAAGGTGCTGGGGGTGAGAGCAGAACCTGCCCCAGCCCTGAACCCCCCCGAGCCCTGGGCTGAGCCCCAGCGTGGGCAGCAGGGGAGGGGGGGATTGTGCCCCTCTGCCCCGCTCAGGTGAGACCCCACCTGCAGAGCTGCCCCAGCCCTGGGCAACAACAGCACAGGGACCTGGAGCTGCTGCAGCCAGGCCAGAGGAGGGCACGGAGATGCTGCCAGGGCTGGAGCCCCTCTGCTCTGGAGCCAGGCTGGGAGAGCTCAGAGCCCCTTTTGGGGCCTAAAGGGGCTCCAGGAGAGCTGGACAGGGACTGGGGACAAGGGCTGCAGGGACAGGACACAGGGAATGGCTTGGCAGTGCCAGAGGGCAGGGATGGATGGGATATTGGGAAGGAATTGCTGTCTGGGAGGGTGGGGAGGCCCTGGCACAGGGTGCCCAGAGCAGCTGTGGCTGCCCCTGGATCCCTGGCAGTGTCCAAGGCCAGGCTGGACATTGGGGCTGGGAGCAGCCTGGGACAGTGGGAGGTGTCCCTGCCCATGGTAGGGGTGGAATTGGGTGGGCTTTAGGGTGCCCTCCCACCCAAACCATTCTGTGATTCTTTGATTTAAATCAAAGTGTGTGTACCTTACTCTACAACAGCTGCAAGGAAATGCAACACTCTGGACTATCAGGCAGTCCCATAACTTGTGTATTTCTCTGGCCATTTTTAGTCAGCTGACCTGCTCAAGGTGAAATTTCTAAGCAGAATACTGATGTGAAGAAAACATGAGATTACTCAGACACCTTCACTTTGAGGCTTGTTGAGATAAACACTTGAGATTCTCTCCCATATACCACAGTCTAACACATTTTTTGCCACACCCTAACTGGTACAGAAACATGGTTCCTTCAAATGTATATATTTTTAAAAGACATTTAAGTATATGGCCTTAAAAATATCTTTGAGTTGCTAAAGGCATCACTAAATGATCTGTTGTGAGAGAAGTGGTAGAAGTGTGGGAAAACCAAGCTGSAATTGTGCTTTTTAATTGGATTTAAATTCTGTATTTGGGGCTTAGATATTTTCTTGTGAACTGAAATAGAGAACATTAATTAATTAAATAAATGGCTGGTGTTGGTGTGTCCTCCAGAGSTGAACTCCCCTAAAGCACAGCCAATATCCCAGCAGATTAAATGCAGAATTAAAACATGCCCTAAAGCTCTTTCCCTGTCTTTGCTCCACATGTAACAGCTGAAAGGAAATTTAAGTAAATGGTCTGAGATGGACAGGGTGAATCTGTCCATCAAGCAAAACAAATTGTAAAATCGCTTTTTAATGCCCCCTTGTCATCAAGCTGTTTTCGGGAAGAGTGTGCACTGCAGCGGAGGCACCACATTTGAAGGACGTTCACATTTTGGGTGAGGTCCAAGGGGAGAGTGTTAGACCAACCCTGAGGAATGGGAGAAATGTCTCATGGTGACCAGCTTCATACACTCAACTCTGAAGTGGCCTTTGAGGGTGGGGGATCTGATTGAGGTACAAAAATATCCAGTGAGGGGAGGGAAGGGTCTGGGCAGGACTCTTCTCTGTGGTTAAGGACAAAGCACAGAGCTGTGAGCCGAGCTTAGGCTGAGATCAAAGCGAAGTTTCCAGCMCTGAACCAGACTGACCACAAAGGGCTCTTCTTCCAACAGGTACTCCACAGACTTATAAATACACAAAATACCCCACCAAAGAAATACTGCACAGCCTAAAAGGCTGTGTGTCTCACTGTGAGTCTGCAAGACTGAGACCAAGTGGCTGCTCTGCATTTTCTGCAGGGGTGGTACAGTAAACCTCTTCTTCACAGTAAGTGCAACTTCCATAAATAATGGTCTGTAGCATTAGAACTGAGTAGAAAAACCAAGGATGAGACATTTAAAAACACTGAATTAATTCTGTTTCTAACAAGATTACTGAGAGCTTTACCACTGATCTCAATCATCCTACAGTTGGGAGAATCCAGTTTTTGAAATACAAAATTTTCTAATCCTCTCAGTTTTGAGTTGTAAGCATCCGTAAAAAATTGTCTGGCCAAATCTGCAAACAGCCTGAAAAAACAGGAAAGAGACTTGAACTGCTTCATCACTATGTTTTTCTGGCATGCTACTTTAGTCGAATTCTACCATGTTCACTCTCAGCACTAACTGCATTTAAACAGGTAAATGAATTAAGGTTCTGTGAATCAGAACTGTGATTCAAAAGCACACACAGAAGATGGAAACACAGAAAAGGAAGAGAAAAAAAGCACCTGAACAAAAAAAGAGGGTAAGAAAAGGTTAAAAGAAGGGGAGAAAAGCTGAGAAAATCACTTAGATATAAAGGTCTACCATGTAATTTAGACAGTTCACGTCAAACAGTTTAAAATTTAAAAAAAAAAAAAAAGGAAGAAAGAAAAGCTTATTTTAAACCTGGAATCATTACCAATGATTGCCAATAGTGGAACTTTGCCATTTGCTCAATTTGCCCTAATGTAATAACTTCTAAAATTGGTGTGCGTCCCCAATGTGTGATGCTGATGACAGCAAGGAAAGACTTCATAAAAGGCACAACAACCAGAAACTCTCAGTGCAGAGATGCTTTGTTTTGCCCATGAATGTAAGCAAATTATCTTCAAGGAAGATGTACGTCAKACATGGATACCTTTAATCACAGGACTTACCCCTAACAAATGAAACTGTGAGCAATTCTGTACTTTGCGTTGGAGAAACTCGGTGAAGTTGGATGTCTTAGCAACAAAGACCTTGATTTTCAGGTAAATGTCAAAGCAATATTTTGATCCTAATTGGTAACTCTAAGTGTTGAATCAGTGTGTGGTCAAATAAACATCATCGTAAAGCAATAATAGCAGGAGGGGGTGAAAAGCCAGAAAATTAACAAAGCAGCAGTGACTCTGAAGGGCTTGTCAAAACCGGCTGTCAGGAAGCAGCAGGAAGCAAAGACTAAAAGCCTGTTGCTGCAATCCAAACAAAAAAACAACTCCTACACAAGCAGAGGTTTTAATAGCAGAGGATGTCAGATAATTATGAGGCTTTTGAACTACAAGGCAAGAATGAACAAGTGGATGAATTGCAGAGAGAAGCTTTGCATCCATGCTGCTGTCACACTCAGATTCCCCCTCAGCAGTGCCTACTGTCCTTCTGAAAGGAAAGGAAAGGTRAAAATTCACTTCAGACCAGAAGGCAAGGCTTTAAAAGGGAGTTACTAGATGAAGAAAACCCAAAAGGCTCCAAGAACAGCTGGAGGCCACGTCTGGGCTCTATCCAGAGAGTGGGCCATGACCTTGCATGCAGCAGAACTCACCCAGGASAGAAGCACTCGCTTTCCAGGCACAAGGGCGGTTCGGTACAGGTGGCTGAGTGACACAGGGATCAACACTGCTGGGTGACAACGACTGAGGGGCAGCAGGGCCACCACCTGCCACTGCAATCACAGCCTATTCCCCAAATACCACCAGCCCATCCCATTTAATTCCAAGCAGAAGGCTATTTCCACTCCTCTTTCAAGGTGACAGCTAGCATTACCCTCATTTGGCATCTACCACAGGCAGACTAAACCCTAACCCATGCAAAATCAGGCAGAAACCAATGATATTTTGTAATGGTGAGTCTAAGCCAAAACCTGACTCAGCTTGCTGGCCTACACAGATGGTCAAGGAAGGACAAGCAGAGGAAGCAAAGGAAGATATGAATGTCCTCAAGAGCAAGGCAAATTATTTCATTTTCTTTCTGAGATTACTCTATTATTTTTCTGCTCTTGCTTTCCAGCAGTTMTCATATTCCTTCCCTATATGTACTCTGCTTAGCAATGAGGCCATCAGGAGGTCACAGAAAATCCAGGTTTTG